TTAATCACTGTCACTCGATGACAATGGACTAAAAATAATCCATTGTCTAACAATCAGAATATCTAGGCACAAGGCTATGCATTTTTTTTTATCGTGTTTTGTTTATAAAGCTTCAGAGAAAATAGTGGTACTCATCCTTGAATCAAGAACTGTTTTGCTATGTACAGGCTAATCCTTTCTCTAGAGTAAACGGAGGACCAGAGAGAATCATATACTTGAAACATACCAGTAATTAATTTTATGAAACTGTATTCTGGTATTGTACTTTAGCACTAACTCTTTGAGGGCACTATATAAAACTGCGATTAAGCTCTTATTCAGGAAGCTTTTACTTATAACATCAGTCTCTTTTTGAGTTTGCATTACATGATTTTCTAATTTGTGTATACGTAATAATTAGTGGCTAGTTTTTATGGACACTAATTTTTTTTTTTTTTTTTTTTTAAGTTGGAATCTCACTCTGTTTCCCAGGCTGGAGTGCAGTGGCATGCTCATAGCCACTGCAGCCTCGACCTGCTGCGCTCAAGGTGATCCTTCCACCTCAGCCTTCCAAGTAGCAGGAACTACAGGCACACACCACCACACCCAGCTAATGTTTTGATTTATTGTAGAGATAAGGTCTCACCATGTGACTCAGGCTGGTCTCACACCCCTGAGTTCAGGCAATCCTCTCACCTCCACCTCCCAAAGTGCTGGGATTACAGGCTTGAGCCACCACGCCTGGCTGACACTAAATCTTTTTAACTTCGCTTTTCTTCCACTTTATGTTGGTTGCTACAAAGCTGAACACTAACTTCATTAAAAGTAGATTGCAAGGCAAACATTATGTATGTTAACTTCAGCTTACCTTTCATAATCTTTTCCTTTGTTTTACTTTCCCCAGCGTCTCTCATTTTTAAATTTTATTTCCCCTTCCAAAATATATATAATTCATATATACTTTGGAGTAGCAACGTATATATGAATTAAAAAGAGAAAATTATGACAGTTCAAATTTGTTGATTTATTTATTTATAACTGGGGTCTCACTCTGCTATTTAGGCTGGAATTCAGTGGCACCATCACTGCTCACTACAGCCTCGACCTCTGGGTTCAGGGGATCTTCCAGCCTCAGTCTCTCAAGTAGCTGGGCCACCATGTCCAACTAATTTTTTAAATTTTTGTGTAGAGACGAGGTCTCACTCTGTTGCCGAGGCTGGTCTTGAATTCCTGGGCTCATCCAATCCTCTTGCTTTAGCCTCCCAAAATGCTGGGGTTACAGGTGGGAGCCACCAAGCCCAGTTTAATTTATAAATTCTATATCAATATTATTTCACCACAGAAATCTTTTATAGACTAGCAAAAAACAGTTAACTGCTATAATAATAACAAATTATATAATTTCTAAAGAATAAAAAAAGATGAATCCTATTTTAACCTATATACTAAATTTTATTTTGTAACATTTAGCCACAAATTGATTTTAGGGTCTCAATATTTTTAAGCAAATCAAAAGATAAAAGACAACAAAATAATTCCCCCAGTATGTAACATGTATCTGTAAACTGCGTTTTTACTTAAGAGGTAATACTTTCACTAACTTTTTGAGAATGTCTGCTACAATGACCAATTAGGAATATACATAGAAGACATATATATGGAATTCATCAACATTATCCATAGTTTATTTAAAAATTTAAAAATTCACGGAGAAATGAAAAAAGATTTGAGGATATTGCTAAACAATCAAAACAAAACGGTTCTGATCAATAGAGGGAAATCTCTAGTACTGTGCACTATAAAGGCCTCTGGTCTTGACATTCTTCAATGTGTTTAACAATGGTTTGGATGAAGCATTGAGAGGATGATACTGGCTAATTAGTGGCTAAGAGCATGGACTTCGGAGTAAGAAAATTCTGCAGATGCTCAAGTCTGTATTTTACATTAAATGGCATAGTATTTGCATGTAACTTACACACATCTTCCTGTATACTTTAAATCATCTCTAGATACCTTATAATACCTTATACAATGCAAATGCTAAGTAAATAATTGTTACATTTTATTATTTTATTGTTGTGTTGTTATTTTTAATTTTTTAAGTATTTCAATCCATGGTTGGTTGGTATGGAGGACCGTCTGTATATCAGGTCATAAACCAGCCAAAAGAAGGAAAAACTCTGCTTGTTTCTGACTACTGATCAAAAATCCTCTCAACAAGTCCTTCGGTCAGAGTATCTCCTACTTCCCATGAAATAGAGAGGTAGACAGGGTGGGAGGACTATACTCCAGTGCCATGTTGTAATCACAAGAACCTTAAAGCCAAAAGCATAATTCTGCAAGTTCAACACTTATATTTGTCTTTATATTACTATCAAAGCTGACTAAGCTTTTTCTGTTAGATTTCTGTCACTGGATGTCCTCTTAATGATCTCAAATATTTCACTGAAAAGACTTTAGGTACCTTTTTTAATTCTATAACTTTGAAAAATATTCTAAAGAAGCTGTCTTAAAAAAAAAAAAAAAAGCTGTCTTTACAAAAGGTTGCTTTTCCAGTTGTCTTATATCTCCATCTATACCTACTTTATTCATTTAAATTTAATAATCTTTAATCAAAAAAAGCTAATTTGTTTATGTACAACACATGCATGCCATTTATACAAGGTTGTCTGTGCAAGCTACCATCCACAGACCAAATCTGGCCTACCATTTTTTTGTAAATGAAGTTCCACCAAAACACAACTTCCATTGTTCATTTGTTTAGTAGTGTCTTTGGCTAATTCTGAGCTATAATGGCAGAGCTGAGTAGTTGCAACAGAAACTATATGGCCTGCAAAGACCTGAAATATTTGCTGCCTATCCCTTTACAGAAAGTTTGTTTATCCCTGAAGGTATATACCAATATACCTAACGTTGGACAGTCATTTCCTTGAAGACAATATTTCCTTGAAGACAACAGCCATTTTGAGGAAATTATAAAAATTAGAAATATATTGTTTAAACATACTTTCAAAAGGCAAGCAGAATTACAGACCAGATGTCGAAGAAAAAAAGTTCCTTTCCAAATAATTTAATAGTTTCATCATAACTGGAAACTAAATATACTACAGAGAAGCGGTCTTAAGCAAATTCTGTTTAGTATTTTTAAAGGCACTGACATCAGCAAAATTACTTCATTTCATTAACTCTGGATAATCAAGGCTAGCTAAGGCCAATTGATGCTAACTGGAGAAATCATGCTTTGCCCTTACTTGCTTTCAGGAACTGATTAACATAAATAGTTCCAAGGTGTCCCTTCTAATTAGAAAATGTATAAGTGCTGCTCAATGACTATCAACTTGGCTAATGGTGTTATCATTCTATGAGTCCTTAGTTCAAATCTTAGCATGTATAGGAACAGTTCCCCACCCCCAAATTTCTCTCTATATTTGCCAAACAAAAAACCAAAACCATAAAATACTCAAGGGGGTAAAGAAAAGACGGATCTGGATCAAGCTATCTAAAATCTAAATCTAATTCTAGATCTAGATATCTAAAATGTTTTGGAATATAGACAATCTGATGTGATAAAAATGAGGAGAATCTTCCCCAAGAGGACATTCATCTGAAATGCTGGTTAAACATCCAGGATAAAAATTAAAATCTGCAATTGGATAAGAAAAAACTAAAGTTATTTTTATCTAGTGAAGAGCCCAAAACAAGGATCTACATATTCAGCAAAGCCTTTTAGTTAAGACCTAAAAAGATCACGAAGCCATCGAGGTCTTTTAATCCCTCTACCAGATACCCTGGCAGTGAGGAACCTAAATTCGATGCTCTCTCTTGCCTCCAGGTAGCTTTTCTTTCCCTTGGACAGAGTGGCTTCTACAAGGTTGGCTCAGAGCCATCCATCTTCTTCTCCAAATGACATCACCAAAATGTCTTTTAGAGATTCGGGTAAAGGGCGTCTACATGAATTTCTTTGGGCAGTCACATGTGCATAAGTAGGTTTATGGGAGACCAAATAGTGAAAAACGGCCTAAGACTGCTTTTCAGAAGACAACGCTCAAAAAGAGACCTTTTTTTTTAAATGGGCAAAACTGTAAAGACCCATTCAAAAGGCTTCTCCCAGTTTAGGCTGCTCGTGGAGAAAGACCCAGGGGGAGGGCCCGACCAGGGGGTCCACGGGGGTGCAGAGCTGACCGGCGGGGACAGCAGCGCGGCAAGGCCGGGGCAGGGCGCGGCGCGACAGGTGGATGGAGGGCCGCGGAGACGCGGGCACTCACAGGCGACGAGCTGCGCTGTGACCAGCGGCAGCAGGAAAAATAAGGCAGACACGGCTGAGGTTACAACCGAGTAGCGCAAAGGGAAAGGTACCGTGGCGGGAAAGGCATGCGATGGGAACGGACTGGTTTCTGGCTTTCCTTTCTTTCTCCTCCCATAACTCACCAAGAAAATCACACTGAGAAGACGGGGAAAGGGAAAAGAAATGGGAAGCAGTATCCTCGAGCCGCTGGAGCTGCCTCGGGAGACGTAGCCCAGCCCCTCCGACCCTCGCCCCGGCCCCTCCCTCCATCCCGCGCAGTGGCCTCTGCGCCTGCGCCGGGCGGAGTGCCGGCGCCCCCCGCCACTCTCCTACCCGCCCTCCAGCCTACCCGAGCCCTCCGAGCTCCTCGGGCTCCTCCCCTCCCTCTTCGCGCTCTCGGCGTCGGCCGTGCGTCAGCGTGGCTTCGGCCGCTCGCTCCGCCCCGCCTGGATTGGAGCCTGCGCACAAGGGTCCTCTTGTGTGACGCCTGCGCGCGAGCTGCGCTTCGGACCGTCTGGTAGACTTTTTCTTTCCAGAGATACAGAGGTAGAAAAGAGCACACTTTTAGGGACACCGTTTTCACCCCGTTCCTCCCAAAGGCACGTATGAAACAGTGGCTTTCAAAGGAACGGAGACAGGAGAAGGTGCTGCAGAAAGGGAAGAAAGGAAGCCTAGTTTTCGGCGCTGCCTTCGACTTTCTGTCGCCTAGTAACTGTTCCCACGGCAACCGCACCAACAACAACGCTAAGCAATCCCAAGAGGAATAGAAAGGGTGTTTTCTTCCCGAGATAGGACTGCTAAGAAGGGGTCAAAGGGGTATTATGTGAAAGAGAGAACCTGAGTTTCTTGAGAAGGCAAAGGAGTAGGAAAGGAAGGGAGGAACAGTGAAGAAAGGGACGGAGATACTGATATAGGGAGAAAAAAGTTTAGGATAATAGTTTTTAAGGAGTCATTTGGTGGCCATGGATCCAACGTGCTCTTCTGAGTGCATTTATAACCTCATACCCAGTGACTTGAAGGAGCCTCCCCAGCCTCCTAGGTATGTGAATAAACAAAGATTCTCACTTGAAACAAGAATGGGAAATAATTACTCCTTATCAGGGTTAACTAAGCACATGTATTATGGGATTTTTAAAAATAAACTATATCTTTGTCTTAATGAAGTAGCCTTGGAGAACCACTTTTTAGAGAAGAGATCAAGAAATCTAGGTAGGTAGCATCTCACAATTTACAGAGCAGTCTTAGCCTACTGTTAATACGTATGTAATTGTTTGGAATTTAATTGTACATGGTGCAAAATGCCGTGTTGTTGAAAAGAGAACAATCACAATTTGATTATTCTGTGTTAGGATACTTGATGTTTGGTTTCAGGAGTTCAGCGCTGTATTTTTAATTGCACTACTTCTCCCTCTTTATAGGGTTAGTACTTATTTTTCCCCCAAGATTTTAGTGAATGATGAATTTCCATTTGTTTCTGAGCCTCAGGATTTTGATTGGTGAAACAAAGTAGATGGACTAGATAGTTTGTAAGGACATTTTCAGATCTAATGATTGAATGGAAAGAAGAATGGATGGATAGGCATGAACCCAAAAATAAGTGGGTTAAAAATTCTACATAGGTCTTAGAACCCCTTACGTACCTCTAATGTCCAAAAGGTAATCACAAAGTAAGCACTTCAGTTATTCCCATGCGTAGGGACTTAGAATTTCTTTAAATCAAGGGGAAAAAAGAAGGTAACTAGTGGTGAAAATCGCATCCCTCCTAGAACCTGAAATGTTTTCTGTCTTTTACCTTCATCCTTTTCCTTATGCAAATCAAACCACATTAAAAGAGCACTGGACTAAAAACAGACTCTGCAATTAATTGTCTTTGGTATCCTGAATAAAGTTTCATTTGTTTACTGGTCAATTGAACAAATTAAACATACTAGATAATCTCTAAGGTCTCTTTCAGTGGTCAATTATTTTTACTAGTAATTACTTGAGGTGCTTAATAGCTTCAACAAGCGGGCAACTCATTCCATTTTAAGCCTAGGCGAATATTTAGTTTTAATTAGAGCAGTGCTATATTGTATTTTTATTAGCATCTCAAAATCTAGTAGAGATTGGAAAGAAATGTAAATTATGATATAGTTGCAGAATTTATGTACGTGTTAAAATTGTCTATTGCTGAATCAACTTTTGGTTTTACTTTTCTGTAAATTATTTAAAACTCTCTGTAACACACTGGTGGCTTGTATTTTCTATAGAATACTAAATTTGAATGTTAAGATATTTTATTAGATAGATATTCTGTTCATTGATAAATTTAAAAGCCTTACTGCATCTAGATTTTTTTTTAATTGTATAAGAACAATATTTATTTGGCTAGCATTTATGGAGTCCCTATTATGTGTGTAACATTGCCCTGGTATATCAGATCTTGGGGTTGTTGGTGTGATAGCACAAAATCCTTGGTTTTACTAAGAAGGAATAAGTAGAAAAAGGACTTGTGGTGAGAGGGAATAGAATGCATCCAAATGTGGTACCAAGAGAATCCTTTCTGTTAGGTTGAAGTCAATTTACACTGGCAAGATTCTGACAATTAACTGCATTGTGATCTCCCACACTTCAGAGTTTACAGTCTTTTGAGGGGGTCTGAAATATGAACGTTAAAATATATTCTTGAAAACAGATATTAAATGAGAACTTAGAAGATGGATATATGTGACCATAATTAGGTGAAGGGCACTTTTCTGCAATTGAAATTCAAGCTGACTTAGGTATGAAAGTGTTGAAGTCATGATTCAGTTTTCAAAATTTGAGTAACTCATAATGCATAAGATGGTTTCTAAGATCTTCACCAAATTTATCGCCCTTCTGCTGATGGCTACAACTATTTAATATCCCCAATCATTCTCTCTTTCCCTTTTGTTTAAAGCAATATTCCGGATATGGTCTGAACAACCCATAGAACCATTGTCTCCTTTCCTTATTACTTGGCACAATACTTTTATCTATGCAGCCTAAATTTTCATTCGCATTTTGACAGTCACATCCCACTGTTGGTTCACACTGAAATACCTGCATGGATTATGACTAAGGCTAGTCTCTCCCATACTCTAATTTTGTAGTTGATTCTTTTTTATCTCAATTCATTAATCTATGAAGATAGTTTTGAGTTATGAATACTTCATATACTCTATTAACAATTCTTCCCAGCTTTGTGTCATTTGAAAATCTAATAGGCATGGCTTTTGTACCTCCATCTACCATTGCACGGGGCAAGTACTTTACACTTCAGTAGACTACTAGACACCTCTCTCTAGAGTTACAGCAGTTCAGTCACACCCAAATGAATCCATTCCTCAGTTCATATTTCTCTAACTCATCAGCAAGAATTTGATAAGAGGCTTTGCTAGCACCAAGATGCAAATAATGTTGTCTAAAATATTTCCCTGATCTATGAGTTTAATCATCTTATTTTTAAAAATTGATTTTCAAAGCCGGGCTTGGTGGCTCAGCCTGTAATCCCGCGCCTTTGGGAGGCTGAGGTGAGTGGATTGCCTGAGCCCGCGGGTTCGAGACCCGCCTGGGCAGCGAGACCTCATCTCTACAATAAATCAAAAAATCAGCTGGGCTACGTGGCACATGCCTGTAATTCCAGCTACTCGGAAGGCTGAGGCGGAAGGATCACTGGAGCCCAGCAGGCCGAGGCTGCGGTGGCTGGGAGCGGCCACTGCACTCCAGTCTGGGCGACAGAGTGAGACTCCAACTCAAAAAAAAAAAAATTGATTTTCATTTGAAACTCCAGATGAACAATAAATGATGAACAAAAAATGAACTCCAGATGGGCTCATGGAATGATTACTTCTTTACAAACATAATAAAAATTATCTCTATAACTCTAGCAGAAGTTGACATCAGGCTCACCAGTGTGGAATTTCTAAATACATAGCTTTTTGAAAATGAGAATTTGTAATGCTCTAAGCACCATTAATTTTTGTTTAATGCCTTTCTGTTTTTCATTGTGATTAATTGTAACACAAAATCAGAATTTCATTTTTCAAACTTCCCATCCTTCTTGGGCTTTTTTTCCATTTTATTCAGTATCGACATTGTTATATCTATATGTTCTGAAGTATTTATAACATCTTTTTTTAAAGTATGGTTACATATATGACTTTACTGAGCAATCTGTTCATTGACTATTATTAACTCTTAGGTGACAAAGTAGATAGGGTTCTTGTCTTATCTACTTTACTAATTCCAACAAAGAATTCAGTTGAGGAAAGCAGTAACCCTTTTAATGAACTTATATTTAAAGAAAGTCAAGACCAGGTGTGGTGGCTTACAAACCTGTAATCCCAGCACTTTGGGAGGTGGAGGTGAGAGGATTGCCTAAGTCCAGGGATTCAAGACCAGCATGGGCAACATGGCTGGACCTCATCTTTACATTAAATTGAAAAAAAAAATTCGCCAGGCATGGTGGTGCACGCCTGAAGTTCCAGCTACTTGGAAGTATCATCTGAGCCCAGCAGGTCAAGGCTTCGGTAGCCGTGATGTGCCACTGCACTCCAGCCTGGGCAACAGAGTGCGACTCGAACTCAAAAATAATTAATTAATTTAAGAAAAGAAAGTCAAGACTATTCCAAAGTATTTTTTTGGCATAATGACACTTTATGCTAAAATTCCCATTGCTGCAATATATGATCTCAGAGTATTGTGATGAGCATTGGAAGCTATTTTATACCTAAGCCACTTGTGTATACAATCCCGACTTGTACCCCACAACTTTAAAATATAATTACATTTTTAAAAAAAGAATGCTGAAATTTAAAAAAAGAAGCAGCTATTTTTGTGTTTAAGTGTTTAGTGTTAGAATGTACTTTTCATCTGGTTAGGTGGTCTTTACAGACTCCCCCAATAATAAAACTTCTCTTCATCTCCTGTATTTTATCCAACTGCTTTCTCGAGCTTATATATCATCTATCTCTTTACCTTTGATATATGTCTTATATCAGGCATACAACTGAAGATGTGCTGTAATTAATAAAAATCGCCTGAGAATGTAGAAATATTGAAGGACTGGGGAACTGTGAAATGGAAGGAATAATTTAAAAGGCACTTTTCCCCTTCAGACATATGGATGAAGGGAAGGACTTCCACAAATAGGATTGTTGTCAAAAAGGACAGTTGCAGCTTCCAGTGCATTTTGCTGGCTTAATGCTTATTTTGAGTTATTGCTTCTCATTTAGATAACTAATGTAATGTGGTAAAAGGTATTAGTGCACCTCTCTGGCATTTCATACATACCTAAAGATGTTGAGAGAACAAAATATGCCAACAATATTTCTTAAAATTAGTTGCCAGGAAAATTTGCAGATAAGTGAAATTTTGTGAATGTTAGACTTACTTTTTAGAAGATTATTTTGGGCAACCCCCTCAGGTCTACTCCCACTGTAGGAGCTTTTCTGTCCTTTCAATAAATCCTGCTTTCTCAAAAAAAAAAAGATTATTTCATTATGGAACAAGGTTTAATATCTTAAGCAATATCATACAGTCTATTTTCATATGAAAATTTGATTTGATAGGTCAGGAAAGTATATCAGTCTATTTCTGCCTTGTTAAATTAACCGTTTAGACATGATGACTCAGATTTTAGAGAATAAGACTATGTCTGCTAGGTTACAAGTAACATCAAGTAAAGAGTTAAACAATTCAGTTTTTAAAAATTTAATCAAAATGATATTCAATAATTACAGTCACAAGAATACTATTATTACTAATGACAATAATATGTTCAATACATATGTCAGATACAATATGTCAGATACTAGTCTCTTTTTCACAATCATTATTTAACTCTCACAGGAACCCCATGAGATAAGTAGTATTATCCCAATTTTATGGAAGACAAAACTCGGCCCCAGAAAATTGAGGCAGCTCAGAACAAGGGCTGAGACTAAGACACAAATCTGATACCAAAGTCCATAAACTTTAATCCATTTGCAAACCGCCTTTTAGTCTGTGCAATATGACAAACCTAATGAGAACTTT